GCCGTTTGTTTGCTGTGCGTTGTGGCCGGTTTGCTTGCTCCCCTTAATAATCAGCTGGCCCCTGACTTTCGCTTTTCCGGACTGCTATCTGTGCACAAACTCCCAGCCAGATCTGCGTGCCACACCACGCGAGAGGCGTCAGGTATCTTTTTCGATTTGTTCCGGTACGAGATATCCTCCGTTATGATCCACCTACGGATTCGTCATATGCCGTAGTAAGACGAAGCGCACACACTCGGAGCGCTGAACCCGGTGTAGGAGCCGTTGTGGGTGCTGGAACCGACGTGGTAGTCCGGAGAATCGGACTTGAGTCAGTGGAGACCATCAGCAAACGCATCGGAGGGTCGGATATTCATGGATGGTGGTAGGATGGCCGACACACCAGCGGAAACAACGGCGAGCACCGACACTGGTATCCGCGATGATGCCCCTCTAACAACATCCGCCCCGACACCTTCGTCAAATATATCACAGCCGTCCCCGTCAACTCTGCCGCCGACTATTACCGATCGGAGGAAACGCAGCTTGCCCGAGGGTTCGCCCGAGGGCCCCGAAGAGGGCCGTTCGTCATCGGCTGCTGCTGCCGCCGCCGCCACTGCCGCCGCTAATCGGCGAAGAAGTCACAAAGTCAGTCGCGCATGCGACTTTTGCAAATCCAAGAAGCTGAAATGCTCCGGAACGATCCCATGCGACGTCTGCACCCGGAAACGTCTCTCCTGCATCTACGACGCTACTTACCGCCGAGGTAGACCGCCGACACCTCCGCCAGCATCCAGTTCTGCCCCCGGGTTATTTGAATCCCGACTGGTCCCCTCAACTTCCCTAGAGGTGCACAGGTATGTCTTTGTGAGAACAAGTAGTGTTCGATGATGGTTAAAGTGGTAGTTAACCATTCACAGAAGACCGCTTCCCTCGGCGGCGCCTCTCCCATCCCTAGCACCGCGTGAACCACGTCTTCCCCGCCAGAGTGCGGCTCGGTCGAGAAGCCGTGATCATGTAGCCGACGAGGCGGAGGCTGCAGAGCGCAGCCGGCGCAGCGCTCTGCCAGGCTCACGCGCCTCGCCAGAAGTCGAGATTGCCGAGATCGAAGGGCAGTATGTTGACACCACTTCGAGTCTAACATTCCTGCACCGAGCATGGAAGCGCCTTTCGTCGCAGAGATCTAATACTACTGACGTTCCTGGAAACGCACCGAGCGGCGCCGAACAGCATCAGAGGCTGACGAGGGCAGGAGACAAGCCTTTCGATTCGCAGCCGTTGGACGTATCGACTCTTCCTGACCGGTTGGCCGGCTTGGACATGCTGGATTTCTACTTTGATGTTTGCGTAGTAACCTATCGATGCCTTCATCAAGGTTACGTCGCCCAGTGGTTCGAGATTCTGCTCGCAAATGCGAAAGACAGCCGTCCGCTGCACCACGAAATTGGCCACGCCAAAGCCTCTATCGTTTTGACCATTCTCGCTATCGTCACCCTCCGACAAAGCAAGGTCCGAAATGTCGACGAAGAAAGGTTTTCTCACCTTCTGCGCAGCGACGCTCTCTTTTCTCAGGCTTTGAGTTTAACGGATGCGGAGATCGGGTTGCCGAAGCTAGAGTCCTCGCAGGCACGCCTCTTGCAGGTGTTGTATCTCCTCCAAACATCTCGCATGAATCAAGCATGGTATGTCTTTGGGAGCATTCTCCCCATCATCTCGGCTTTGGGTCTACATCGGAAGTCCGGACGCAACAGGGCCAGCAGCGACAAGGACTACATACTGTCGCAGTGCCGGAAGAGGACTTTCTGGGTGGCATACACCATCGACAAGTATCTCTCTGTTGTATTTGGTCGGCCGAGGATGTACCGCGACGACGATATCGATCAGGACTTCCCTGACTGCGTCAACGATGAGGACATGACACCCCAAGGAAGATCAAGTGACGAGCCAGAGATGGATTGCCATGTTGAGAGTCTCATCTTCCACGCCAAACTCGCTCAAATCATTGACGGTATCTCTCGCGAGGTGTACTCGATTAAACCCGTTCATAAAGATGACCGTCTCATGATTGCACATCGATACGGCAAGGCTCTACACCGGTGGCGCGAGTCCTTGCCACACCATTTGGGTACCGTTCGACCCATGTCCTTAATTCCGTCATTCAGAAGACAGAACACAGCCCTCAAGCTAGCATATTGCCACGCCATTATGCACGCCAACCGACCTTTTCTTCTTGGAACGGGTGGCTCGAGAGGTGGTCAGCAATCGCCTCTAGAAGATAGTATTGATGAATGCATCACTGCAGCCAAGGCCGCACTTGAGACGGTCGACGGCATGGCTAGTGACGGGAAATTATTCCACGCTTTCTGGTGGACGCCGTACGTCACCTTTTGTGCACTCGCGGTGGTGTACGTCTATGAAATTCAAAGAGGGAGACAGGACCCGGAAAGGGGCCTCTTCGAGCTGGCAGATCGCTGCCAGAATCACCTGGCGAAAGCAACGACTGCCGAGAGCCCAAGCCGCAGATACTCTGTCATTCTCGAAGAGCTTCGGCAAGAGGCTAGTTCTCATTCCGAAGGCCCTTCAGGCCGTGAGAGGAAGCCGACCATTGAGCGTGCTGAGCATGGAGGTGCGGAGCCGATGCAATTGGAAGAGGTTTCGGGCGCTCCAGCACCGCCGGCCGATATGGGTGAAGTGTTCCAGCAGCATGGGTTCGAAGGGATGACGAACCTCCTCAGTGGTTGGGAGACAACGGATTGGCTGGACTTAGACTCTTCGGTACACGATTTCCTCCAGAGCTTTCAACTAGGATGTTGAGCTGATTGTCTTCAGGCCTTTGCTACATTTCCCAACTTCGAAGGATCGCCAGCTTACTGGATGCCGGATGTTCAGTGATCGCGCATGGAATGAGAGGATCGTGTCGGCTGACGAGGTTATAGCGACGGTGTACTATGATGAAGATACCAGGTAACAAAAGCTATTCGCTGTACAAAATAGTTTCTAGAAAGAAAAGTAGTCGGGTGCGAGTTGTCGGAAGAAAGGGAAGCAACCAAAGCCTCGATCGGCAACGCGGCAACCCTGATTGTCCGAACCAACCATTCGCCGGAATTAACGGGATAATAATACTGCTTCTTCACCCAGATTGCGGTGAGGTTATCTTGCGCTGTGGGGATGAAGCGGCCTGTCAAGCCGAGCCCCTTCTTTCAAGCTTCGTCCAGACTCCACCAACACTCTTCATCGCCAACTGCTTCGACGTGGGATCCTAGCTTGTTCGGCAACCGAATAGGAACCTGCAGATGCTAAGTCGCGGGAGCATCACCCGTGCCCGGCATAACCGGTAGAAACACCCTGTCGAATTACCCGCACAGATCAGCAATGCGGCATGACACCTCCTCCAAAGGCTCATCAGCCTCCGCGCTGCAAGGCACCCCCTTCGGGAAGGCCAATGCAAGAGCCACTTTGGACAACGGATACCGGCACCCATACTTTTCCAAAAGAGCCGGGTTTCCCTTTCGGAAGCCATGGCAAGTGCCGAATAAAAGCTTTTTAGACAACTCCAGATGAACCAGTTTCCTTTCGCTTTCGGATGAGACATGGATCTAGCACGGCCCCCAGCCAACCGGCTAAATTGACGATGATGGCCCCCTTTTCAACACTACCCTACGTGTGGGGTAACGAGATCACCGGGTTTTACACATAGTGCATGCGGCCCCTATGGTTCTATGCACGAGCGGCTGAAGGGAAGTCTACAAAAGTTGCCAGATGCGTCACAGGGAGCTCTGTCAACAGCTTCGTTCGTTCGACTCCGTTACCTAGGACTATAAGTAGTTGCTCAAGAACGAGCCCAAGATCGTCCTCGAGACACTGAATCAGCATCGCACTTGGTTGTAGCAACTCCATCGCAGCTATGAAGTTCAGCACAATTCTCTCCGCCCTTGGGCTGGTCGCCTCTGCCAGCGCCGCTTCGCTGCAGCAGGTCACGAACTTTGGCTCAAATCCCAGCGGCGTCAAGATGTACATCTATGTTCCCGACAAGCTGGCGGCGAACCCTCCCGTGGTTGTGGCCATCCACTACTGCACAGGTACCGCTCAAGCCTACTACAACAACAGCCCCTACAAGACACTCGCAGATCAGAAGGGCTTCATCGTCATTTACCCCGAGTCACCATACTCGGGAACCTGCTGGGATGTCTCCTCAAAGGCAACTCTCACCCACAACGGAGGAGCTAACAGCAACTCCATCGCCAACATGGTCTCATACACTCTCAGCAAGTACAACGGCAACAAGTCGAAGGTCTTTGTCACCGGCTCTTCATCCGGCGCCATGATGACTGTAAGTCAACGTCCATAACTCAACAAGACAATGCTCGAGTGACTGATCGCGCAACAGAACGTCCTGGCCGCGACGTACCCCGACGTCTTCGCCGCCGGCATCGTCTACAACGGCGTCCCAGCCGGTTGCTTTTACACCGGTACGGTCAACGGCTGGAATAGCACCTGCTCTTCGGGCCAATCGATTGCCACGCCGGCACGCTGGGCCCAATGGGTCTACGACGCCTACCCCGGCTACACGGGGTCCCGCCCCCGCATGCAGATCTACCACGGCAGCACCGACACCACGCTCAACTACGCCAACTACCAGGAGACCATCAAGCAATGGTCTGGCGTCTTTGGATACAACCCGGACAAGCCTGTCACTTCCTCTCAGAACACCCCTATTGCCAACTATCGCACTGATGTGTTTGGTGATCACCTGACGGGTGTTTGGGCTGTTGGCGTTGGACACACTGTGCCCATCCGGGGTGACGATGACATGAAGTTTTTCGGCCTGTAGCCGTTCTCAACACGTACAATAATTCTTGGATATAGTTTGAAGGAAGCTTCAGCCGCCGCTCTGGCAGTAAATAACTAGTGCGTATTGTTATGATACTTATTCGGTCTTAACATACATTGTCTCCGATGTGTGAACTTTGGGAGCTCTCTTATAAAGTTTCCCGCGGAGAAACGTAGTCCGCGGGGACAATCTATCCCCCGTTGACGGACCGGAAGCATGATTCAGAACCGGGCCGGTATTGATAAAGGATCTCAGACCCGCCGGCTACGAGGCCGGCTCTCTGGAGGAACCGGAGGTTATGACTTCTTGACGCAGCGCTGCGGAAAAGCCAACACGGGTATTGCAATCTACTCGCAGATACCCAAGTTGCATATCCGCTGATTTCCCATCCACGAAGTTGACAGTGTCCAGCTTCACGCATTATGCATTACCTTAGTCCGGACCGAAGAGCTGCAGGAGAAACTTACTGAAGGGTCCGACGTAGAGGCCCTTCTCGTGCCTCCAAGACCTCTTTCAACTTCTCCGCAAACCGCGACACGTTGACCTCGTCCGACATAGAATAGTGTTCACCCGGAACATCATAACACTGCACATCGCTCACAAACTCCCGCCACCGGCTGAGCTTATTCAGAACCCAATCCTTGCGGTCAATAGCTACCTCCTTGAGAGGATCTGCGACAAATACATCCATGCTGCGTATCGTTCCCCGTGGCTCGTAGTCTCAAGCCAGATGCTGGACCGAAGATGCAAAATCTGCCCACTTGACAAACTCCTCTTCGCCGAGGCCTAACCCTATCCGAGTCGCTGGGGGCTCGGAGGTGGGCAACTGCTTCTTGCTTTGAGAATGTGCGCAACATTGGTATCTGCTGTAAAGCCTGATCCTGTTCGATGAGCTTCGTGAAGTGAAACGAGTTGGCGAGACACTCTACCCAGCCGAACTGTCTGATGCGGTGCTTAATATGCGGCGGAAGGTTCCAGCAACCGCAGTAAAGAACCTCATCACCTGCTGTCTCGAGTCTCTTACATAATTCGAAGGCAATCATTGAGCCGAACGGATAGCCTGCGATAGCATACGGCCCCTTTGCTTGGACGGCTTCGAAGTGCTGAAAATAGTAATCCAACAACATATCCAAGGAGGCAAAAGGCCAAACACCGCTATCGAGACCCCCTGCACGGAAGGCATAGACTGGCCGGTCGTCGATGAGCCTATGAGGTTCATGAAGACCAGGATTTCTCCGACACCGGGATGTACGAGCCACAGCGGCGTCTTTTTGCCCTTTGACCGGAGGGTAAGGACCGGGCTGCCGACTTCATCTTTCCTCTCAGATCCCTCATTTATCATAGCTAGCCGCCGAGGCGTCGGACTTTTCAGGACTTGGCTGGGCGTGAGTCCTTCTAATAATTGAAGCCAGTCCGAGATTAGACGCGCTATCTTGATGAGGTCCATTGACGTAGCGCCGAGCCAGAATATCGATCTTTTGATGCTGTGATGTGGCCCCCTTGACTTGGAAATACTCCTGTATTTCGTAGCAAATGAGTGCCTCAAGAGAAGAAACTATCTTCTCTGCTACGTCATGTTCTACTCTGTCGGCTTCGCTCGCTTTGTGGAGATGCTGGGCGTACGTGCCCTTCCCGAAAGCTGACCTGATCGCACCTCTTGGGCAGCTTTCCTCGTGCCGATGGCTTGAGATCAGCGGCTGTTAGGGGTAGAACGATGGCAGATGAAGCCGTATGTAAGCCGATAATATCGACTATCCTATTGCGAGTCTTGGTCCGGGCTCGGGTATCAATGTCCTCAACCGATGGTAAGTAAGCAACGACAATTCGTTCTGTGTCAGATGACTGTGACAAAGTTGAGAAGCAACAAAAAGAGCCCGGAACTGCCCCTTGTATCAACTCTTTCTCGAGATGGTGTTCCAGCTCGTCTGGGGCGTACTTCACCCCGTTGATGATAATCGTATCTTTGGAGCGTCCTTGGAGGATTAGTTGACCGTTGTGGTTGACACAAGCAACATTGCCAGAAATAAATCAGCCATCACTTGTGAAGGCGGCCGCATTAGAGTCGCGATCGTTGAAGTAGCCGTCAAATACTACGTCGCCGGAGAGTTCCAGAAGCCCAACCTGGCCGGCGTTTGCGAATGCAGATGGAGAATTGCCATCTAAGAGTCTCACTCGCAGCTGTAGCCCAGGGACGCCTTTGCCAACGTCAACATGTTGGTGATTTTGTCCTCGATCATACGTCGGGCAATTTGCGTTATTTACACACCCAGCGCAAGTTTCTATAATTCCAAAACCCGGGATGATGATGTCTTTGCGAGCACCGTAGTCCTCGAGTTGTGTCTGGAGTGCCTCGCAGAAACCCACTGTATTTGCTTCCCCACTCGAGCCAAGCCATTGCAAACATCCAAGATCGAGACCTCCATCCGACGACGATGTTTGTTTCAACATGAGCTCCCTGGATAACTTCGCCAAGAAAGAATGAGGGGCAAAGGTTCGCGAAACCCGGTGGCGGCTGACCATATTCAGTAGCTGCACAGGGTTGGACAGCACCTCGTCCGCGGAGAGATGCACTTGGGAGAAACCCATGTACATCGCGAGGAGATGTATCTCGGTCAGGCACGCTACGTGGTCCATGACGATCCAGTTGAGGTAGGGACCGCCGCTGTGTGGTCCTGCAGACTTGGCTTTGCCTTCTAGCGAAGCCAGTATTTGATCATGGCTGAGTTGTACCGCCTTGGCTCTCCCAGTCGTACCTGATGTCAGCATCAGAACCGCCGGGTCGGAAGCAGAAGAACTGTCAGATAAAGGTAGCAGCGGCATCGATTGACTCATCCTGGCAAGACTTTGAGAAGTTGTCTTGGCAACCGGTAACTTCTTGGCAAAGTCTTGCAAACAGTATGAGCCTGAAAGCGACTGAGGTACTATGCAGAGCGGATCCTTCAACAAGATGGGGAGATATGAGAGGTACTCTGATCGACCAGGCTCAAGAATCGAAGTGGTTGAAATTGCTGGCAATAGCCCTGCGATTGCAGTCGACCAAAACCAGATGATGGTGTCCAGGATGTTGTCGAGGCACAGCAAATCAACATGGTGTTCTCCGCCGATGCCAACGGATGGTGGGCACAGCCGAAGGAGAACCTGAGCATTTGTACGAGCCAGACAGAGCAAGTCTGAATATGACACGACTGTCGGCACGAGATCTCCAACTGTCTCTTCTGCTCCATAGGCTATGATTGATTGAGATGTAGACTCAGCGGCATTCCGAATGAGGTCGATGAGGGTTGGTCCTTGTCCAGCCCTTTCGGCCGGGTTCAGGGGCATCATTGCTTCGAGAAATATGGTAAGGAATTCATGAGTAGAGGCTCAGATAGGAAACAATGTTGTGGAGCAAATGCCTATCACTCTCAACTTACACCGTCACGTAACGATTCTGTGTGCGATGTTCCAGTCGTCAGCATTCGAAGGCATCACGGCCAGATTAAAGGGGGAGAGACCTGAACAAGAATAGGCGCAAAGACACTGTGGATGCTCCCGGGATCGTTTACCCGAGCCCATCTATTATCGATAAATCTCAAAGGATTTGTTTGGCAATTCTGTGTGGGTGACTACCTGTGAATACCCAGCAAATTGCGCGGGGTGGGTGCAATATTAAACCACCATGCATTCAGCGCAAACAATCTCAAGGTTAATCACGTTGATAGAGTCTTGATTGGATGGCCTGGCTAACCAACGTTCCTCGCCAAGCTGACCTGCTGCAACACAGCCGGATGACTAGTTACTTCCTAAGCAAAAATTGAATTTGTTCATAACAGAGTCCTATATACGGCACAGCTGCCAAAAGTTCCAATTTGTACATGAAGACAGAAACCGTACAGGTTACCGAGAAGCACCCGAGCCCCACTTCACATCGAGAAAGAAGACCTACTGCAAAGCAGTAACGACCGCGTTATAAGCTGCCTTGGGGTTAAAGTTGGCATCAAACAAGAGCGGGTTATTCTGCGCCCTCCAGCTGTCCGGGTCACGCACTCCCCAGACCGTGATACCAACGCACTGCGGAACCTGCAGACAGGCCTTTGTCACAGCCGTGTAGTCAGCCGCGCTGGCGCCGACAATGTCCAGCTCCGTGATGGCAACCTCCTTGACGCCACTGCCGGCGAGGGTCTGCAGCGCGCCAAGAGCGTTGCCGCCTTGGTTAGCTTGGAGATGGGCTTGGGAGCCTGGCGCGTAATCCGTTAGTATTCGTGCATGGCGACCAAGGAAGAGTGTGTTGGACTGGCTTCACACGTACCGATACCGTCAATGGGGATGCCCTTGCCGATCCACTCCTTGACCTTGCGAGCCATGGCCTGCGTCTTGGCGTAGCTGGCCTGGTCGAGGTTGTAGTCGTTGATGTACAGCTTGGCATTGGGGTCCGCCGCCCTGGCGGCGCGGAAAGCGATGCCGACAAAGTCCTCGCCGAGGACCTGCGAGAAGACGGAGGAACGGAGGGAGCCGTCCTCGTTGAAGATCTCATTGACAACGTCCTGACCATACAAGTTTCAGTAACATTGGTTTCCTAGAGAACAAGAAGAAGAAGAAGAAGCAGGTGGACATAGACTCACCCAGTGGTAAATCTTGCCCTTGTACCGGCCAACAACAGCCTTGATATGGTCCTCAATGACAGTCGTCAAACCAGCCTTATCACGGACGTTATTCACCCAGCCCGCAAGCTGAGAGTGCCACACAAGCGTATGCCCGCGGACAAGCTTGCCGTTCTGCTGCGCAAAGTTGACGAGGTAGTCGGGCGTGGCCCAGTTGAACTGGCCGCGGTTGGGCTCGATCTGGTCCCACTTCATCGAGTTCTCCGGCGTGACCTGACCAAAGTTGGCCTTGATGATGTCGGCGTTCTTGCCGGCAGTCAGGCGGTTCTGGTCGGTGCAGGTGCCAAAGTATTGCTTGCCTTTGGCCTTGATCAGCTTGTCGATGGACTGCGAGGCCTGCCTCTCCTCGAGGGGAGCGGCGAGAACGGTGATGGGTGCCAGGAGGCAGACGAGGCTTGAAGAGAACTTCATTGTGAGTGATGAGGTGAAAAAGAGTGGACCGTGGTGCTGTGAATGGTGTATTCCATTGTCTTAGCTAGCCGCCTTTATAGAGTTGGAAGTCGTGCTTCGGGTAGATGGAGGCTCTCAAGCCAACACATTTGGCTTAACCTTAGATGAAGGACCGCCCATTTGCTTAAACTACCACTATACAATAACCATAACTCGATTTACTTATCTGGGCACGAATCAAGGCCAAATGAGGGACTCGGAAATGCAAAGTCCAGGATCTCGGCCCGTTCTGGAAAGCCAAGCTCGGTGGTAACAAGCCGTAATGGCACCGCAGGTATTATTCATCGTGTAAGAAGCGGACACCAGCCGTCCTGGAAAAAAGGCACTCCCCCTGGTAATGCGGGGAATAAGCATGGGTGATATCGGCTGAATGTGTTAGTTCCTTGCGGGCATTCGACAGTGACATTACCCAAGGGAACTAGTCATGGCTTGAACATCGCAAGACGCACTTAGCGGCAGCGAGCTGGTCATGCAGTGGCCTCGTGCTTTTCAGATAGATTGCTAGCTATTGCTAAGGGCGGCTGAAATGAGGCGCCTAGGTAACATCCGAACTTTGCGAGATCCGAGTTTGGCGAGCCTTGGTAGCTGCAAGAGGCCACCCTTGTCCGATGCGTACCGAGTGAAACCTCAGGGTCTTGGCCACCACTGCTGCCGCTTATGAGAGGCCTTCCACCATTCCTCCGGGCTACTTGATGTATCATGTAGCTTTTCGGATGACCGGTATACGCCATAGAGCCGGGGAATTATTCTAGATTGATGTAGATTGTTCTTATTTCCCAGAAGGGGCACGTAATTCCCCGTCCTGATGATCCCACCCCTGGAGGGTCGAAGGGTGTAAAGAGTATTTTACATCCGCTCTCACAGAGTGGAAGTCATAGTCGTGGCTCTGAATCAAAGTCCTGAGTCGAAGTTCCGTCCGTCTGCTGCTCTCAAGTATGTGGGAGGGGAACTGATGCAGCAACAAGATTGTCTGCCCTGTTCATAGTTGTACCGAATTTGACGAGGCCTCGATGGATCAGGAGTTGGCGCTGGCAATGAGATCGCTGATCAAATTTTTGACCGGTTCAAAAACCTCTTCATCATCGCCAGGTGGTACAAACACCTTGACGCGCCCCTCTGAGAGCACGAACCCGCCACAAGCAATCTTGGTGACTCTCACGCCAGGATGGAAGAGATTCAGGGCGAGATGCTTTTCTAAGTAGGCACCCAAAGTATGCAAGAACGCTTCGTCATGCTCCCCTTGGCGGTCAACCCATCCCCATCCTTCGTCCGCCTTGCCGCCCGTGAGCTTTTTTCTCTTTCTAGGATCCTCTTGGTAGCCTTGAGTGAGCCCTGCCCTGTTGATAATCGTCGGGTTCGTGAGCGTCATCCCTTCCTTTGTAAACCGCTTGAGCTCCTCAGCCGGTATGATGATGTCGATTGACTTGATTCCGAGCCCGTCTGGGGGTTGTTCGTCAGTACCATCTGAGGTCACTGCGGGTGGTATGTAGAATCCCAGGGTCAAGACCATGTCTTTTGCCAGAGGGCCCTGTGAGGGGAGACCGGCATCTTCGATCCACCGTTCCCATGCGGTAGTCAGGCCTTTCGTACCCATGCGTAACGAACTAATCCGGCAGTCGAATGTGCTTGACAGAAAGTCAACGATAACTGATTTCAAAGGTGCAGGCATGCGAAGGAGAAGCAGAGGTAGATGCAAAAAGTGCCTGTCATCTTTTGTGCCGCTGCTGGTAAGCAACCCAGGCACACCGAGGCTATTGGCCGATTGCAGTTCGGCAGTAGGCTCTTCCGTGATCTTTTCAGAAAGTGATGGTAGCAGCACAGCTGTGCACAGCGCGTTCTCGTATCTCATCTCGAATGCAAGGCATCTCTTCTTGCGGACGGTTTCTTCGGTCTCGACACCATCGCTGCTAAGATCCCTGCTCAAATCGGGGTCCGTATCGTCCGCGCCGCCTAGTAGAGCTTCAACGCCAACCCATCGTATTCCAACTTTTTCCAGCGGGCCGGCGCGTCCTAGAGAGCTGTCGCTGCCTTCCAGCCCAACCTGTACACCTCTGACGACATCTCCCACGAGCGTGTCGCGTAAGCGCTGCGACAGTGCCTGTAATCGAGGAAAGCTCAGGGTATTGGCGCCGACGTACAGCGGCGATGCGCGATGGGTGGAAAAGGTGGTGTTGAAGAAGGGCGGAGGTGGTTCGCGCTCCTCGAGGGACGATGGAGATGGTCTTTCGGGAAGTACTTCGGAATCGAATTCGGCCGCGGCCGCACGAGGGCGACCACGAGGAGGCATTGCGGTGAGCCGGCGAGGGTGCTGGCGACTCGGGGAATGAGTGCGGAAACGGTGATGTCTGAAATTGGTACTTGGTGCAATGATGACGCGTTGGTGCTGGCTGAGTCTGCGACTTTCTCGATTGATAGCAGGTTCGTAGGAATTGTCTAAGTAGAATGCGCGTCGGTCTACGATTTCTCTTGGTGTTGTTGATCGTGGGTTTCGCCAAAGCACGCGGATGCTGTGTGCGAAGTAGCTGTGATGCGTAGAAAGTAAGGAAGATGGCCTGCTAAAGCTAACGTGCAATTGGCGATGGGCACTAGGGGATGGGCAGACAAGATATTGATGCCTACAATGATGATACAGATAAATGTGTGCAGCGAGATGGTCCGAGGTAGAATGAATACACTGTGTATTATAATAGAGGAACTTCGTCCAAGGTTATGATGGAATGGTGTGAGAGGTAGAATTGAATTGCAGACTTCCCGGGCAAGAGGCGCAGCGGCGAAAGGTACCCGGAGGCAGGTACCTTCATAGAGCACCTGCACGCCGTGCCGATTTTGTGGATCCATCGGCGCCAGCTCCGGAACCTGCGTCCGGAACGGGTTTGGAATGGAAACACCCGGGATGGTCAAATCGATATCACTTCTCATAGAGTCTCATAATTACGGAATGGGGGATTGTGTTCAAAATGATTTCAAGGCTATTCGTTAAGCTGGACATCAACGCGCCTGCTAATGTTCTAGAGTGAGTGGAGACTACCCAAAACCACCAATCTAGCTGCTTCCACAGTTGAACGTCTTCATAACAAATTCCAGCATAATGATTAGGAGAAAATATCGCATGAGCCTTGAGATGAAAATCGCACACTACATTTCGAATCCAAGCCCAGCCAATCCATGCTAGACCACATTCGCCAAGTACAACATATCTCCCTGAGCTCTTATCTCAGTCGAAAGGTATGAAGT